TACTTCCACGCAATGTTGAAGAGGCGTGTCATCCAAGACAACCCCCCAACACCCATTGCTTTTAGCATCTCTGGACGGATCTCATCAATCCCCGGGGCTTTGCCACTGCGGAGTTGTTTGACTACCTCAGTGACTTCCACCAGGCTAATTGACGATGATCCCTCCTCCGCCTCCAGCTCCGCCTCCACCAAAGAGGGCGTAGTAGTTGGGTTCAGGAGTTCCTCAAAGTGTTCCTTCCACCGCCCGATAACCTCCTCAGTCGCGGTCAACAGGGTCCCATCCTTACTGTACACAGCTTGGATGGTTCCCCGTTTCCCCCTCCTGAGGTGCCGGATGGTCTTCCAAAAACACTTTGGTGCCGACCGAAAGTCCTTCTCCATAGTTACCCCGAACTCCTCCCATACTCGCTGCTTTGCCTCCATCACGGCAGAGGCTGCTGCCCTTCGAGCCTGTCGGTACACTGCAACTGCCTCTGGAGTCCCACCGGATATCATAACCCGGAAGGCCTCCTTCTTCAGTCGGACGGCTTCCCTGACCACCGGTGTCCACCACGGAGTTCGAGGGTTACCGCCCCTTGATGCACCTAAGACCTTGAGGCCACAACTCACCGCCGCGGCTTCAGCAATGGAGGTTTTGAACATAGACCACTCTGGTTCAATGTCCCCTACCTCCACAGGAATGTGAGAGAAGCTCCGCCGGAGGTGTGAGTTGAAAATCTTTTGGACCGGGGCCTCCTCCAGACGTTCCCAGTTCACCCTCACTACACGCTTGGGTTTACCGGGTCTGTCCCGAGTCTTCCCCCATCCTCTGACCCAGCTCACAACCAGATGGTGATCAGTTGACAGCTCTGCCCCTCTCTTTACCCGAGTGTCCAGAACATGCCGCCTCAGATCAGACGATACGATTACAAAATCGATCATTGATCTTTGGCCTAGGGTGCTCTGGTACCACGTACACTTATGAACATCCTTATGTTCGAACATGGTGTTTGTTATGGACAATCCGTGACTAGCACAGAAGTCCAGTAACAAACACCCGCTCGGGTTCAGATCAGGGAGGCCATTCCTCCCAATCACGCCTCTCCAGTTATCTCCATCGTCGCCCACGTGCGCATTGAAGTCTCCCAGTAGGACTATGGAGTCCCCTACAGGAGCCCCATGCAGGACTCCATTCAGGGTCTCCAAAAAGGCCGAATACTCTGAGCTGCTGTTTGGTGCATATGCACAGACAACAGTCAGAGTTTTCCCCCCCACCACCCGAAGGCGTAGGGAGGCGACCCTTTTGTCCACTGGGGTAAACTCCAATGTAGCAGCACTCAGCCGGGGACTTATGAGTATCCCCACACCCGCCTGGCGCCTCACACCATGGGCCACTCCGGAGTAGAATAGAGTCCACCCCCTATCCAGGAGTTTGGTTCCAGAGCCGAGGCTGTGCGTAGAGGTAAGCCCCACCAGATCCAACTGATAACGCTCCACCTCCCGCACAAGCTCCGGCTCCTTCCCCCCCAGAGAGGTTACGTTCCACGTCCCCAGAGCCAGCATCTGCCGCCCAGGTCTGTTCCGTCTAGACCCCCCACTGTCACTGCCACCCTTGTAGCAGCGCACCCGACCCCATCGGTTTCCTCCACAGGTGGTGAGCCCATGGGGAGTAGAGTGTTGGGCTGCCGCGTCACTCCTTCGGGCTGTGCCCGGCCGGGCTCCGCGGTAAACCCGGCCACCAGACGCTCGCTGTTGGGCCCTCCATCTGGGCCTGGCTCCAAATGGGGGCCCCGGGCTTCCTGCGGGCCGGGTAACTCCTTCCCTCTTCCGTTTTTTCATGGGGGTCTTGAACCATTCTTAGTCTGGCCCCTCGCCTGAGACCACTTTGCCAAGGGTAACCCTACCAGGAGCACAAGGCTCCCGACAACACAGCCCTCAGGTTCATAGGGACACACAAACCTCTCCACCACGATAAGGTGACGGTTCCCAGAGAGGTGTTCCTAGGGTAGTTAAACCTCGGTCTGTAGGTAAATCTATATGTGTGGGGGCAACATATGTATTGGTTTGTAAATTATAAAACAAAAGAAATAAGGAAGGACAAAAAGCAAACCAGACCTTAGCTAAAATAGAGAATTTCCTTCCCCCAGTCTATCTAACCAAATGTATGGATTTCCAGAAATTCTAGCTCCACCCAGTTTTGACACCTCTGCTGTTCATAAACCAATCGGATCGATTAAACCGCGCCGAGGCAGTTTGGTACTTTCCTCTCTGCCTCCATCTTGTGACCGAACCTGGAATCCCGCCCAAATCAGACCCTAACCTCATCCCTAACATAATGCTAAAATCTAATACACTCAAATCATAACATGCATTATAAACATCATTTTGGCTCATTTTATATACTCTAAAATCACAAAGTTTCCACGCAGGGCTTTCCTATCTGTACAACTATGACATCCCCTGTTCCCAACACAGACCTGACACACAAGGAAAAACTCCCCTAAAAAAACCTTCAATGGGGATTAAATAAGGAAGAAATCAGTTGAAGAATGACTAGACAGAAATCCCTTTCCCTGAATGAACATTACATTATGTGTAAAGTTTTGGTGCTACACAATATGTTTAATTCATAATACAGACATTATTATTATTTTGGAGATCAATCAAGCAAACCACTTCTGGAAACTGGGAACACAGACAATAACACATTATACCCCAGAATAATATACCCACAGCATTCATAAAGTTCCTAAACATACACAATCGCTTGTAAAACGAGACAGTAAACCTCAACATAAAAACCCATGGTAATCTAACTTCGGCCCAGACACGGCTTTAAGATGATTTAAGATGGCTTTATTTCGTGCCACTTTAACTAACTTTATGTGAAACACTCAATAATACTTAACAATATGGTTTGGGATGCAAACAGCAACATTATGTGAATATACACAAAGATATCAGTAGATACAATATTTTACTAAACTCTGCATCTGAGTGTTGTATGCAACCAAATATGGTCATTTTTCTCAGATGAGGTAGTGCAGCCGAGAATTTAATTTTAGCGTGTGGTATCCTCATGACATTGACAAAATGATGTCTAATAATAATACATCACTCACTGACCACATCACATCATCAGCATTTACTGTTGCAGTGGTGTTATAGGAACCTAATACAGTAATGGAACATCCAGGTGGAAACGCATTGATCATTTTCCTTATATTGTGATTTTAAAAGTAAAAAGTAAAATTTAAAATGTTTTTTTTAAAATATGCTGTACAGAGATCATTGCAAATTGTTCACAGATTCACAAACATACACTAAACATATATATGTATTGTAACATTACCGGGGGGGCTTCCCTACGGCCAGCTATGGTGGGGCAATGCAAAAGTAACCTCACTGACAGATTCCAAAGCAAAATAGAAGGTTTATTGTTCTTAAATAAACAGACAAACATAAACAAGGCCTTCGGTCATTTGGCAGCTTTAAAACACAAACAGAAAGGGTCCCTTTTACTTTGGGGTCGGGGGAGTCCTCCCTCCTTACAAGTCTTTCTCGTGGTTTCCTTCCCCAAGGATCGTTGGGTGCTCCAATGCACCGTTCTAGCCCTTCCAGCTTGGTGCTCTCCTCCAGTCGTCTCTCTTGCCAGGCAGCTGCTCTAACTTTTAAGCCCTGCTGTAAACAAATGGCTTAAACACCTACAGCTGGGTGTGCTGTGAGGCATTCTGGGGGCTTCTGTCTGGCAACAGCCAGACAGAAGCCCCAGAAGGTAGCAGAAGGTAGCAGCCTTCCACCACGTGTCCCCTTGTGATGCCACAGTATGGACGTACACGCTCCTCACTCTACAAAGCTAATCATGGATAGATAGATAGACAAATAGATAGATGAATGGATTAATTGACAGGCGGACGGACGGACAGACAGACAGACAGACAGATGGATGGATTAATAGACAGACAGATAGATAGAACTATATATATATATATATATATATATATATATATATATATATATATATATATATACATGCACTGCTGTCTTGTCGTCTATTGTCATACTGTCTACTGTTACGCACCAACCACCAAGTCAAATTCCTTGTATGTATGACATATTTTGGCAATAAATGATTCCTGATTCCTAACATACTGTACATACATGCATCACTTAGATACTTCTTTCCTATTGCAACACCTTCACCCAGTCTACGTTTGCTTTGTGGGTTTACATGATGCATAAGTTGCACAACAAATAAGTGGGCAGTGTTAGGAAACAGCAGCCGGGATGTAGTTTTCCACTAACATGAAGTAAGAATGTTTGTTAAATATATATATTCATTTTGATTGTGTGATAAAGAACATAAAATAGTTAATGAAGAGAATCACGGCGCCTTTGAATGCTCTACAGCACAATAAATATGTCCCGGTATAAAATCAACTTAATGTTGTTATTCGAAACACAGAAACATATTTCCATAAACCTGCTTGTTACAGCTAAACTGTTGTGAAGCGGTCCATTACACATAAGGTCCATGACGTGACGCAGCATGTTTGTGTTTTGTCACAGAGAACATTTTTTGTCCTGTCAGTGGAAACATTAGCCTGAGGGCAAGAGGAAACGGTCTAAGGTTAAACACCTGTGAATCTATGAACGACTGCCACAGAAATCTGAGAAGGATGTACTTCAGAATACAGCCTTAAATTATAGATTAAGTCATCAACCAACATAATCCCTCTGCAAAATCCACTCGTCGCACTTCTGAAAAGACAGCAATGATGCCCACTTCCTTTTCACTTCCCTTATTTATTTTTGGTTTCTAAATTAGGGGATTTTTAATCTGTGGTTTCCGTATGGAGTTGTGACGTGTCATGGAAATTTCCTTTGGGGCGCTGAGCAATCAAAGACAATTATCTTCCTCTTATCTAGAAATCAAATAGCTCTTGAGTCATCTACTCTGTAAGGTTGTTGCTCAACGCCTCAGGGCGTCCACTCCTCAGCCTATATAACATCTGTCCCCAGAACAGACACACAAGACGCATTCAACAAGTAAGTATGAAGTCCTGCAGTGTGTGCATCATACTGAGCCTGGCAGTCACAGTCTACTGTGTGCCTGCATCCCAAGTCACTGCGCAAGATGAAGGTTATGCAGAGGTACGTGTGTATTCATTGCTTTGCATTTAAGACGTGTTCAAGGTGTACATTTTGTGGACTTTTGTTGTCTCAAAAATGATGTTGCTCATTACTGACTATCCAGTATCAAAACATATTGTTTCTTTTACAGAGCTATCTAAAGGAATTCTTCAACCTAACAGAGGAGACTGGTCCAACTATCAGACGGGGGATCAGCCCGTTGACCAAGAAGCTGACTGAGATGCAGAGATTTTTCCGTCTCCAGATCACCGGGACGCTGGATACTGAGACCCTGGCGGTGATGAAGAAGCCCCGCTGTGGCGTTCCGGACAGCAATGTTGCCCATTTCTCCACATTTGGACGTAACCCCAAGTGGGAAGGAAAAAGCCTGACTTTCAGGTAAATTATGTGAAGAGAGACAGTGTGAAAATAATATTAAACTAGAAAATCAAACTTATAATATCCCTGACTGTTGTTTGCCCATCAGGATAGAGAACTACACACCTGACATGTCTCCGTCAGAGGTTGATGAATCCATAGAGAAAGCTCTGCAGGTTTGGGCCAAAGTCACTCCTCTGAGATTCACAAGGATCTACAGCGGCACGGCTGACATCAGGATCTCTTTTGTAAGCGGATGTGAGTACAGAACAAGCTTTTCACTACTGCTAGTTTATCGTGTAGGGAGGTTCCATTAAGTTCCTTTTCTGAACGCCTTCAAATTTAAATGGCTCTGTGTCCTGGATCACATTGAATAGCTGAGTAATACCTTATTTTTCTTCAACATGAGTATGTTTTCATTAACAGCACATGGGGATTTTTACCCTTTTGATGGCCCTGGTCGCATTCTTGCCCATGCCTTTGCCCCAGGACCTGGCATGGGAGGAGATGCTCATTTTGATGAGGATGAGAACTTCACTTACCGCTCAAGCAGAGGTAAGTTTCTCATTTCTGCTAAATGCGGTGTATCTTTTTTCCCACCAACTGTCAGTGATTTTCTCAAAACGGTATAATGATGCTTGGAATTGTCTCATATCTGCATTTTTCTAATGTTCATTAGTGCGTGATTCCTCTGGTTGTGTAGGATTCTGAAATCCTACACAACCATTCTCTCTTGATAAATCCCATGAGTAAATATTTAGATGAGTAACATTGGGTTACGGTCCTAATCTCTAGTTTCAAGTCTCAACACATAGGAGGGTATTCTTTCGGGTGGGGCTATCTTTAGATTGCTACAACGGTGTTGTCCTGTCTTTGAGTTGTCATGTTGGGTTTTGTTTTCCAACTTGAAACTTTTTACTATGTATTGTCAGTACATAAATGGTAACAGAGATGGGCAAAAATACATCTACATGTATATTTTTTTAAATGGACTTAAAAACAGCTCATAAACTTCAACAATAAAATATTCATCACATATGAATAGCATCACACATTAGGCCTATGCATACTAAAAAAACTAAGAATCATTTCAAACTAAATCTTTTAAATAAATGAATTAGCTTGGCTAACTGTGAACTATATTATCTACTATTATTATAGTTGATATGGCATTATGACATTCACATTGAGAAGATACAGCATAACTTGTAACACTGAAGAGTGAACTCATGAACTGCTTTTTGATTTGTAGAAAAAGTATTTTGAGTATTTCAAATACAAAATCGCTCTATTCTAGAGTATTTTGTTACAGATTACATTATGTTTTTCATTGACCCTATAAAATACAAATCACAAAATACTCAAACGTTATTTAAATACGTATTTCAAATACAAGTAATAGAAATACCTTCTCTGAATAGTAATTATAATATTCACCCTTGCACGTCACATTTGGTAGCAAAAAACAAGTTGGTGACGGCCAAAAGCCAAGACGGTAACAGCTCAAATGCTGAACTCAGGGCTTTCACTTACAGCTGATGACTGTAAATAATCTGTAGTTCTGTGTTTTCTGTTGCAGGTTTTGTGCTCTTCATGGTGGCTGCCCATGAGTTCGGCCACTCTCTAGGCTTGGATCACTCTGAGGATCCTAGTGCTCTCATGTACCCCACGTACTCCAACAAAAACCCTGACACCTTTGTTCTATCCCAAGATGACGTCAACGGCATCCAGTCTCTTTATGGTTTGTACCAACTGACTGGATTGTCCATGCCGTTTGGACAGTCTCTTGTACAAAGTTTGTTGCTGCTACTTAACTGGGCTTTCGTTCTGTGGCTTAGTAAATACTTGGGGACACATTTTGTTCCAGGTCCAAATCCTGACAAGGATCCATCGGTAGATGAACCTCAACCCCCCACAGACCCTGATTCCTGTGATTCAACCATGGTGTTGGATGCTGTCACAACCCTGCGAGGAGAAATGCTCTTCTTCAAAGACAGGTATTGCAACATCTGGATCAAAAGTCCTAAGATTGTTCTTCTTTTTAAGAAGTTTGCCTTATGTTCAAAATGTTCTTGCGTTCTCAGCTTCTTCTGGCGAAGCTACCCTCAAAGCGGGACAGCTCAGCGAAGTCTCATCACAAACTTCTGGCCAAAACCCCTCACCAACATTGACGCCGCTTACGAGAGCCAACAGTCAGACAAGATCTTTCTCTTTAAAGGTATATTATCCAAATATCTATGCGAGGTTTTAATATGACGCCATTTTCACACACGTCTGTTCTCCTTATCTGAAAATTGAAAAAAGCATTGAAAAAGGTTGCTTTTTTCTGCCAATCTTATTTTTATTTTTTTTCTCCCTGCAGGTCGTAGAGTGTGGGCCTTCACTGGCTATGACCTTGTTCCTGGCTATCCTAAAACACTTACTAGCTTTGGTCTGCCAAAAGGCGTGAGACAAATCGATGCGGCCCTCTATGACACGGAATCTGGCAAGACTCTGTTTTTTGTGGGATCCAAATACTTCAGGTGTGTTCAGAGTATGCTGTTTTTCATATTCTAAGCTCTTTATCGTTATTGAATGTATCTAACTTCTGTGGTATTCTCTATTTTCTCAGTTATGACGAGGCTAGAAAAACCATAGACAGGGGATTTCCCAAGAGAGTGGATCAGGCTTTTCCAGGCCTGACCAGGAATGTGACTGCAGCTTTCCAGTACAGAGGTGAGTAGCATTAATGCTGAGTTTTCCAACTCAACTCCATTTTGTGCGAACGTTAGTTGACCTTTTAGCTTTTAGCTTGACGGCAATCGCCGAAATAAGAACAAGAGTTTCAGGCAATGAGAGCTTTCGCAACCGGACAATTAAAGGTGGACCTCATCAGCGATGTGAAAGAATGAGATAGTGCGGGACCCAATGCTGTTTGCATGCACACACTATTTCTTCTCTAGACTACTGAAATGAGATACACGTTTGGTGGCTACAACTATTTTGTACTGAAAGGCAGCTATTTACTTATTATGTATAATTTTGCAGGTAACCGTATTGTAAAAGCAATAAGGTACTTTATCTTCAATAATGTAACTGTAACTGCTGCGCTCGGGCCTAAAAACACCCCCAAACTGTTACATTTTTAAAGTACAGCCTCTCGTACCTTATTGCTTTAATAACTTGCAGAGTAACTAACATTGAGTTTTTTTCTGTGTTCTGCAGGTTTTACTTACATCTACAGTGGACCATACATGCTTGAGTATGACCTGAGGACTGGGAGGTTGTTCCGTGTTTTAAGGAACAACTACTTCCTGCGCTGCACCAACTTCTAGAACAGTTTATTAGCTACATTGTTTAACTGTTAGTAGAGTACATTTTACAGTTTTTAATCACGATTAATCACATGATTTATTGGCTATTTATTGTAAAATGTGATATTTAATTCAAAAGTACTGTATTACACACTTTTATCAATGCAATAAGGTGCTAAAGCAGTATTTCCTTTACACAGTAGCAGTTAAAATATTTCTTGTAAATCTCAATCTAAAAAGTAGTTTAATGAAATAAAACACAAAACCAAAGCCATTGCCACTCTGAGTATTAATGTTTTATCTAGTTTCTTACATTATGGCAGGCACCTTTTGAACAACAGCATGTTGAGGCCCACTTCAACTTGCCGAGACGAGTGATTACACCCCTCCTAGGCGAATACTGAACAATATCCCCCTTTCCCTGTGACCTATGGTGTGTACAGTGGCGAGTGTTGGAATATGATAAATGTCTTCATCTGCTGGTATTTTATCACTGTGTTCAAATGTAAAACCAACGCTGTATAATAGTGTGGTATTCAAGCCTCAAGTGCTGTATTCCGTGAATGAATGTTTCTCTGTTTTCTGCATGTGGAAAAAGTTTACGTGTGTAAGATTGTGTATGCTATGCACCCAGAATATTTACAAACTGGTGTTAAGCAATTCATGCTTCATTTACCTTTGATACTTATATACATATCACATGTTACATTATATAGTGGTTTTGTTAATTGTTTAACATGTATCTGTTTCAGAACCACACATGCTTGTTTGACTACTATCAATAAACCTCTCGAGGGAACATCTTGTCTGGAGTGAATTCTAATCAATAGCACATATCTTTAATCGTTTAAGTAGCTCAATTCAATTAATTTAATTCAATTTGTACAGCCCAAAATTGCAAATTACAAATCTGCCTCACAGGGATTTACAGGTCTGTACACATGCAACTATCCACTAAAACCCTCACATCAGCACAGGAAAAACACCTCAAAAAATGAAAACCCTTTAATGGGGAAAAAAGAGAAGAAACTTTAGGGAGAACGTAAGAGGAGGGATCCCTCTCCCGGGATGGACAGACTACAATGGATGTCATGTGTACACAATGAACAATGTAAAAGATGTACAATACATTCAATTCCTATAACAGAAATGATTTAAATATTTGTGAGTAGTAAGCCAGGCGCACGGCAGGACCACTGCAGGGGCAACCACCATCAGATAGAACCGCCATCCACAGAAGCCTGTGGGGAGGGAGAGCACAGACACTTAAGGAACCCCATTCTCAAAGAGCCTGTAGGAGTATCGACAAGATGATCTTGGAAGGACTGAAATCTTCTGATGTTTTGAGATAGGACACTGAACTTAGAGCAGAAGGAATGGCTTCTTTAAATGCCGCTACATCCAATAAGCATCGACGGTAAAAACCCTTGGCAAGAGGAGGAGATTCTGGTAGTATAAGTTAAAAGGTTATCAGATCTGACAAGAGAGGGTTCTGTGGAAAGATTGTTATCCCAATACCATACACAAGAACCAAGTCGAGGGTGCGGTTAAAACAAAAAGTTGGTTTATTTACACTCTGACAGAAACCAATTGAATATAACAATGAAAGAAATGAAGTACAAAGGCTGTCGTCGACATCCACGTCAATGTTAAAATCACTCACTATAATAACCTTAAATATATATATAATATGAGTATTAACATGACTTGGGGGAGTTGCTTTCATTTAGGCTGAAATATTCCCCATTCGATAAGTTTCAGTAACACATAATATATCAGCATGGTGATCTGATATTAAGATAATATATATATATTCTTATTAAACTGTTCAATTGTTAAAATGTGTTTAGATGTATTATTTAGACTGTCAAGTCCAAATGTGAAGCAGAAAAGATCAAATTCAAGCTTATCTTATTTTATTTTTTCTGAATTGAAGCACTTTATTTGAACATGCAGAAATTTTCACATTTTCTTTTTTCTTTTTAAATGCAGCCCTATACTTTCAGTAGGTAGGTAGGTAGTTAATTGAGAGAACATTAGTTATATTTGCACTCACACATATTTGTTCAGGTCTTTGTTACGTGACAATAAATATTCTCAAAAGAGTTTTAGAATCAGACTGAATTCATTTGATTTGTTAGTCCCGTATTGATTACATGAAAATGTTGATGCAACTCTATTCCTCTGTTTAATCACAATAAGTAGTCACATTATGATCTTCCAGACCTTCACTAACTGGACCTCGTCACATTTTAGTTGAATACCACTGCTTTATGTTGTTGTATTGTATTGTCTGTATTTTCTAAACAGCTGGCACTGTACCTCTCCAAGACAACTTTCCTTTGGGACAATCTAATCTAATGGCATGGTTCTATATAGACCCTCAGATTAGCTTTTATGGTTTTGGATCATTCAGCGGGGTAAACCAAGGGTTGTAACTAAATCACTTAAAGGACCAGAGCCATGATCTACAACGAAACACCGACTGTCGAGAGAGTGACCATCTTGCGGACTTTACTGTGAGATTTGTTTTGTTTGTTTCTTCCTTTGTTTTAGTCATATTTGGCCCCTTAGTGTTGACATGTCGATGTCAACAGTATTTATCATGTGCCGGCATTTAGACCTTCCTCTTGCCTAATACTGTGGAAAAGTTCTCCATTCCCTTTTAACTCATGGTTTGCTGCCGTTGTTATGCCATTTTGTCTTCCTCTGCTGTTTGATAGTTGTTACTACAGCCATCCTCTCAACTTCTGTATTTTTCACTGAGCACCAGATTTATGTGTTGAATTGAGTGAATGAATCCAACATAAATCAATTCAGTATTGACGGAGGACTGTAACTAACCGCGTAACAAACAACGAGTGAGCAGCACCAAGGTTCGGCTGTTTCAACAAAAAGGGCTAATTGTCCCCACTCACATTGTTGTCAGAAGTGTTTGACAACATGGATCAGGAACCCTACAGAGAAATACAATTTTTTTAAAAGAAGTTAATTTTCTATTTTTTTTGCAAACATACAAAATATCTATTTTTCCAGTTTTTAGTGGCAGATTGGAGAAAACCAGAGGTGACGCAGAACTATACGCACATGTAATACAATCAAAGCCAAGGTGACAGAAGGGCCACATGCAATGGCAACCTTAGAAGAACATATAATGAAACATAAGTGTTGGGTGAGGGCTGATTGGAGGATAAGGGAGTTTATACATTTTATACATATTGTAAATGCATGACTTCAAGGGGTTAAATGAATAGAATAGATCTGCCTTCAGTTCCCTTTGTCTCCAATATCTCCCATGTCTTTGAGAATGTGTCTTAGTCCCTGCCATCTTTATATTTGTTTTAATCCATCTGCAGTTTTGGAATCAGCCTGTTTCAGGAACTACAATCAGTAGTCGGGAAACTAATAGTTATCCCTGCTGTTGGAATAGGGTAAGTCCCACATAGTACTTTGTAGTCATCATGATACCAATTAGTATAATGACCCGCCAATAATATGAATGAGGTTGATCTATTTGTATTTAGTAAGGTATTTTTGGCACTTTGATAATGGTATTCTGTTGATAAAAGAATGCTCATACATCAAGTGCATTTATTCTTTTAGTCACCCTAAAATATTTTGGTCTCGTGCCTAGAGTAGTACTTGCACGTGGGCAATCAACTCAAAACATCTGTAAAACCCTGTGTTAGCATAAATGCTCACTAGATTGTTGAATGAATTTTGTGGTTCCAAAGGAATGAATTAAATTATTACTCTCCTTGTTATATATAATCCTATATTATCAAGTGATCAGTATTAAGGCTGACTGTGCATTGGTTGCTTGTCATACATCAGTGGATGTTGTCTTAAACTCTGCGAACAGGCTTCTCTTCACGCGAGATTTGCGTGCTGAGCAACCGAAGACAACATCTCCATTGATAACGTTAACACCAGTGCAAAGCTGCTTTTAAGGATTCACCAAGTGGATATAATTCGTTATTTCAGTTATTCAAATGGAGGTAAGTGCTATGGCTTTCTGTCAAAAGACTTTACAAGGCCAAATGTTACATCATAACGTTACGATATTACTCTAATTAAATTGCAGCAAGTTATTGTAATACGAGTTTGTAATATTATTGTAATACGAGTTGAATTAAGCAAATCTGGCGTCGAGTAGACGAAGTGGAAAGTGAACTTCTAGCATGGAGTTAAGGTGCATTCTGTGGTTTCTCGGTCTAAGCTGACGTAACGTTAGTTTTCGGCCCGCGGCTGCGTGTGTCCTTCCGGCCGGTCTAGAGACCCCGCGTTGTGTCGAACCCCGTTTCCCGATCGATCGTGTGTGTCGTGTGTTTTCCTCCTCCGTTGAAGCAGACCCACCCGTCCTAACCTCAAACACTGCACGGAATTAACGTCACATGTCAGACGACGTGTCGTCATTATTCTGCTTGCGGCTGCTGCGTCAAGCGAAATACTGCAAAACATGTGAAATACTATGGCAGCCTGAAAAATCCACACGGTCTACATACTGCGGTCATGTGGACCGCATTTCAAAATCAAATGTGCCTCTATTTAAGGTGTTACGGTAAAATGGCATACAGCCTTAAGGCATTAATCGCCTATTTGTAAAGTGTCATATCCCAATTTTTGAACTGTCTTTAAACCAGATCCAAAAACGGTAACACTCTGCTTTCACTTGATCCTAGTTCATGTTGACCTCCTCTATGCTAGATTTTCATAAAAGTAAAGATGAAATCGGTAATAATGACATGATATTCGTCTTTTCTCAATCTCTGAACTGTCTTTAAACCAGATCCAAAAACGGTAACACTCTGCTTTCACTTGATCCTAGTTCATGTTGACATTAAAATGTGTTATAGTCTATATTTTTTTACGAATTATTTTTTGACATCGAAAACAACTGTGCACCCATTCCAGGGCCTGCTATCACTGAATGGGTAAGGTGTTGTTTTAATTATTTTTATTCGAGCATTTGTTTTTGCATTCTGTATATTAAATTGATAGTGGTCAGGAAATGAGGGAATAGAGAGAATTGAAATGTTGTGGTATGTAAGAAAGTTTGCAATCCAGGGTCAGATTAAAAGACCAAGAAACGTGTCTAATTTCAAATGAAATAAAAACATAAAACAGAGGCTTCAATTTTGTATTGAACAACATTTGTGGAACATTTGCTATCATCTGTAGTAACACATTGATTAACCATATACTCTGCCTACCTAGGTTATTTGGATTTGTAACATGGTAGCTGGCAAATTCAAGGATCTGTCGTAAAGTTGATGTGTGTCAATTGAAATAACATTTTACAATCGGTACTATAACAGATTGTCAGATTTGTGGAAGAAATTGCAAATTTGAATACAATTGTATTTGATGATGAATTCATGTTTGAAATAAAGTCTATCTTTCTCAAATTAATTATTTACCTTTTCCTTTTCCAGATTCAGTGTGACAGTTGCAGCAGGTGGTTCCATGCAGACTGCCTGCAGATCCAAAAAGCACAGCTCACATAAGAAAAATGATTGGATATGCACTCTGTGCAGTAATTAAATCCGCGTTCAGTATTTCTAATGTTCTTGGTCTCTTTTTATATGCCTACGTGCCCTATCTGTGTGTGAATACAATATGTAATTTTCACTAACTTTTCCTTCAATTTTCTAAAAATCTATAGAGTAATATTTCATGGAAATGTACACGAACATAGAGGAGGTCAACATGAACTGGGATCAAGTGAAAGCAGAGTGTTACCGTTTTTGGATCTGGTTTAAAGACAGTTCAAAGATTGGGATATGACACTTTACAAAT